TTGTGACTAAAACGTTGAACGTACGTGAATAATATCCATTCGCATTTCGTTAAGCATTCTTTATACAGTCTCACATTCCAGCAACATCGCCGCACTTTCTGCCGGATATCAGGCCACACGTTTATTTATTCTTATGCATTGTGATCAATTTAATTAAAGTGGTTTAGTCAAGCATAAATTGAAATTAAAGCTGATCTATGTGAATGCGCATTTCCCTATTCGCTGTTTCTATGTTTGGGCATGGGCAAGTCCTGCTTGACTGGCGAATAATGCACCCGAGTCAGAGGTGGATTCCCCTTCGTGGTGGGCTCTAGTGTGGCAATAACGGACTCATCATGGACGACCTCAGAAGTCATGGATGTTCCTAAATATAAAGACGAGCTGACTCAACCTATCCCACTTCCAAGGATGATCTGTCCGTCTTTTACTCTCATATGTACTTGTTGGATTGACGTCATTAATTTGTTAATCTCTGGACATACTCAAAGTCTGTAAAAGTTAAAGGTTTGAAATGTTAGCCTTTCTCCTTCCCTTTATTTTAGATAATCGAAAGCTTGAGTTGAAAGATGATCAATAAGAGAGATAATAATATTTTAGATATTCTAATTCTAGTACTTGATGCAGTTTGAAATGGTTGTTTTCATTATTACATATTCTAAGAGCACAAATATTGGATTGCCCATAAACGACTCTTTGAGAGTTGCAATCTCCAGAAAATATGCATTCCACAGGGTTTAGGGTATCTCTAGAGATCCAGAGACGCAAAGACCTAATAATGCAACCACTCTACACATTTCTTACGCATAGAAGAGAGAGAGGTAAGACCCCGCCAACAGCTACACAATTATTTGTTGAACAAATTTTCTCGTAGATGTACCTACTTAATAAGGCTTTCAGAATGTGATAATTACGATTGTATTAGCACCAAATCTATTTGAGGAAAACGGAAATTAAAAGCAGAGTCCTAGCTTCAATAGAGAATAGTGAAATGGTTTTCGCTTCTATGCTTTATAGTTAGCTCGTCCTCAAGACTATATACAGTATAATCCGATGATAAGTTTGTATGGGGACCAATAACCGCAATAACCGTACTGGTGTTATGAGCAGAGTCGTTATAATTTATTTTATTTATTATACTGTATATGCCTTATAGAGTCAGCCGAAACTACCTTAACTCCCATTTTCAATGGGTTCAGGATATAAAGACCGATGACTGTCCAACCATTCCAACCTATTCCTAACCATCCTATACAATACCCGTCTACTACTACAAGTAGTATTGGGTAACCTTAAAATAGCATCTTATTCCCTGTTATTGTTAGTTTCAAAGGGAACAAGCTAGGGCTACAGTTACTTTGATCTGCTATAAACAACAAAAGCCTAGACTGATTATTTTCTAGTTAGGCAAAAGTCTGACCCAAGGAAACCTTCTATCCACATGGATTGATTGATTAGATTTGCAAAGCAATGCGAAATGTGTTGGAATCATAGAGTAAAACCCAAACCGATCTGATTTATGAACTGTACATCGGATAGACCAACGAACCGAAAACTATAATTTATAGCGCAGTTATCGCAGCCCGTAAATTCGTGCCGTATCGCCTGAGAGCGTGCTGCAATGGCTCCGTCTATAAAAGGCGCTAGTCGCAGTGCCCGCCCGCCAGTTAGAGTCCAATCGACCAATTGCTAATTATGACCTCGTCCGGGCAGCACCTGTGCGCGCTTCTGCTGCTGCTATTCACCTGTGGCAGCGTCTATGGCGCGCCTCCAATGGGTCGAGTGGTCAACGGCACAGATGCCGCAGTGGAGAACTATCCGTTCGTGGTGAGTATGAGGCGCGCCTACGCATGGATCTAGCTGTCTGCCATGGATACCCTCGTTTCTATTTCGCAGATCTCGCTGCGCGGTGCAACCGGTTCCCATTCCTGCGGTGGCTCGATTATCTCCAATCAGTTTGTGCTGACGGCGGCTCATTGCGTGGCCGGCCGCCAGGCGCGGCAGCTATCCGTGCAGTACGGGGTAACGAAGATCGGATCCAACGGACCCAACGTGGTCGACGTCAAGCGCATCATTCAGCACAAGCTCTACAACCCCTACGACAACTATGCCAACGACATCGCTCTGCTCCAGGTGGCGGTGCCCTTCAAGTTTGACAAGAATGTGGCGCCTGTCCGGCTGCCAGCGCTCAACTTTGCCACGCCCCAGGGTAGCGCCGGCGGAGATGGAATACTAATTGGCTGGGGTCTCAACGCAGTGAGTTTCGCTATAACTTGATCTGATGGCTTTGTCTTATTGTCTAAACTATAATTTTATAGACCGGCGGCTATATTCAGACGACACTGCAACAGGTGCATCTGAAGGTCTATTCGGATGAGGAGTGCGTCGCCCGCCACAAAGGCTCCACGGACCCCCGATACCATATCTGCGGCGGCGTCGACGAGGGCGGCAAGGGTCAGTGCAGCGGCGACTCGGGCGGCCCGCTGCTCTACGACGGTCAGCAGGTGGGCATTGTGTCCTGGAGCATTAAGCCTTGCGCCGTGGCGCCCTATCCCGGCGTCTACACCAAGGTGGCCAACTACGTCGACTGGATCCAGAAGGAGCAAATCATATTGGCTTAGGCGCCTAGTCAAAGTATATCAATTAGCCACCGTATTTATGGCAGATCGTATAATAAACGTGGGTATCGCATTGGCCTTATCACCGCCTTCGATCGATTGCATCATAAATCATTGTTGCGGAGTCAAATTCCTTCAAATCGTTCTATCTGCACTGAGAAATAAAACACTTTCAGTTCGATGTACATCAAAGAATGCGAAAGAGAATATATAATCTAAAATAATATACAATATGGACGAGAGCAACTGGCTTTATTTATAGTGGTATTATCACATTTATTTCATTATAATTTGAATTCCTAAAGTATGAAATATAAATCATTTCAATTCGGCTCAAACTGTAAGCCAAGACAACAACCTATGCTGAACAAATAACTTTTATAGCAAGTACATTCGCCACGGTGTGAAACACTGCTAATTTTTAACACATTAACATTTGTCTGTTAAATATCATGGCCTTAACATGCAAACGTGCGTCAAACACGTTCGAAGCTACGCCTGCCTGTGCAAT